TGACTTGTATGTGGCTTTACACTTTAATGCGCGGGACCTACCGAAACACGCGTCGTAAGTTTCCTTCTATGAACTGCTAACTCCAGTGCGCATTATGTTCACCTCATTGTACTTCGGTAGAACCAGCCAATAAAAGTGCCTCTGGCCCTTTAAAATGCGAGTGATAAGAATGGAATTGTTTTTCTTGTAGCCATACTAGTGCATGCGAGACATCAATTTACTTCTTTAAGGATTTTGTGCTGTCATAACTAAGAGTAAACACTATTTTGCAGTCACAAAGTAACTGAACCAATAGCAAATGACGGCATGCAAATCAGTCAGTAAATTCAGTTATCGTTGGCACTCCTTGGACGCTTGGGATTTTATTGCTTGAATAGCATCACCAGTGAACACCATTTATTTTTATATGAGGAAATTAAGCAAATATATGTTGTCAGAGAAAGAAAAAAGAATGTAATAAGCAGAATTCTGGGATACTGCAAGATAGTAATGTAACAGAAAACCAGGCACGACAAATCTTTGGCAAGACAACGCATTGGAACAAACCGTGTAAGATTGAGCACAATCAATTATAGGTAATTGACGGCGCCCGGTTCCTTTAGTTTGCTCAGTGATGCAAGGATGACACGGTTTTCACAGACGGTATGTTTATAGAACATGAACGAATGGGTATACTCCTTGAATAGCACTGCTGCGGCTTCGTCCCTAATTTCTAATTTCAAACATTTTTTGTCATATCAATTTTGCGCTATTTCATCGTCTGACTAATATTTTGGCTTGTCCAGCGGTATTCAAACCGAGTGCCAATGATCACTGGTATATTTACAGGTTTTGATTGCGCTATTAGCAATAGGCTTAGGAGAAATGCGTTGCCGCCTGATTCTCTGAAAATTAGCATTAGCTTTAGTGCATTACATCTGTTTGCATTAAAGAAATAAGCGGTACCAGACATACCACTATGTCCCAGCGTTCTACAGTCTCCCACTATCACACAATTGGTGTTTCATTCGGCTTTTTTTGCAATTGCTTTTGGTCTGGAGTGCAGCGAACTTATTACTGCAACGGACTAGCTTTTACACTCGCTAATTAATGTTTAGTCTTAGGTAGCAGTACAGTATCCAGTTTGGCCAAAATTCTTACGTCTATTTTACACAGTGTAACTTTACCTGTATTTTTCTGACTTTTGACTGATTGGATGCGTTATTTTCAACTGAATTGCAGCCTTGTTACCGTCTAGAAAGACAGCCGGCTTTGGCCACAGGTGGGCAGCAAAGAAAAGTCAATGGATGCGGTATTAGGTTCCAGGGTAGTGCAGCACTTAGAGAAGCTTAAATGCATTAGCACTTCAATCATTTCTACCGTCATCAGCAGGAGGCTACTTTCTTTCATCAGCACTGTTAGCACAGATAATACGACAGAGTAAATCCTGTTTTTTGAATTTCACAGCATGAAAATGAAACAAAATTTATTAGCCATAATCATCCAGCAAAAAAAGTTGCGACTACTAAGTTGAATAAAACCTGTATACGAAAATAGCACAGGCAAGAAAAAACACTGCCACAGCGAAGTACCAATAAGATATCCAACTCTAAAATTAGCACGGTTTTAAAATTCTATAATAAACAGAACCAGAATTAAACTTTAAAAAAAATTGATTACGAAACGAAAGTACACAAATGATTTAGTTTCAAAAGCAGAGTCGTTAATGATCATAACTTAACGTTCCTTTAACATGAGCGTGAAATTCGATATGAGGTATTCTCAGGTACGACATGACTATAAAAATTCTGAATGGCATGCATAACTCCGCATTTGTCGGTCCTAAGACAGGATGAGAAAGGAGGAAGGTTGGAGACCCTAATGTGGTTACCGTAAAATTTACCTTCCTGCCTCTCGTGGTGCTCTCAACGAACATCAGACCACCTCGGACGTCGCTCCGGCTAAGAAGGTCGTGCAGGCTGAGGTAGGCTGCGAAAAGTCGGTGATCAGAACTTGGTCGCTGATTGGATACAGCAGCACAACAATGGCTGAATATCTATAAAACGACGACGAAAATACTGATCAACAACGGAGTCGCTATCCGTTCTGAACGAAGGAGACCAACAGCACAAAGGGATTACAGCTCGTCAGGA